CCCCAAAACCCCAAAACCCCAAAACCCCGTGTAAAATAGTGAAAATTGAGTTTAAATTATAAATAATTATGTTTTAACTGAATTACTTCTAATATCAACAATTGGAGTTACTTTTGATCCCTTCTGAGCTAAAGATTGAACAACACCTACCTATCATATAAGCCTGACTCCGTACATTAGGATTATGATAAATCTGCTGAGCATTAGAATCCTGATGTATCCGCTCAACACTCCTCTGATCTTGCTCAATTTTCTTCCTCACAAAATCTTCAGTCTCCTCCACTTCTACTTCACCTCTTCCTCACATAATTTTATATCACACATAAATCAAAACAACTCCTCAGAAAGTGGCCAAGACTGCACCAACAAACACAACTGCATATACAACTATCTCATTATAATTCTTCTCATTTTCGGTACTATAACCAATTAACCTCAAATACAAAATTTCTCAAAAATTAAACTCACAAGCAAATTTCTACACTTTTTAGACTTAAAATATCGAAAATTTACCTTGCAGATCTGTCAACTTCTACGTACTCTAGTTCTACCACAGAAGAGGTCTCAAGGGGAAGAACAAGGATGTACAAACAGGGGCGAAAAGATGAGGATATGGGATTTCAGTCACTGAAGGCTATCTCAAATTCTTCACCTGGGCTGAGGTTCTAGGTGGAGGTTAAAGTGGAATTTGGAGGGGATTGGGAATGAAAGAGAGAAATGTAGGGGTTATCAGGAAAATTTGATTTGTATTACTCTTTTCTTCAATTCATACTCAAACGACTGGTTCTTTTTAGCACTGTACACTAAAATATCAGTCTTTATGCTTACCTTCAACCTCTGCATACTCTATTTTCTCTATTTTATCAGACTATTCCAAACAGAAACATTTCAGAAAATTTCAATTAAAATTAAACACTTACTAGGAATGATCTTCAAGAAAGTAGTATTTTCAGAAAGAGTAGAGATGTTATAAGATCAGACAACATTCTTTATAGGAAATATCCTTTCCAACATCGACCTAGAAGTCGTAGCTCTGAGGTCTAAAGAGCCTCATTCTGACTCGAAAGATGGTCATAGTATTAGCCTCGCATTAGGTTTTATTCTGTGTATCTTCAATAGAAGTCTGATTAGGGCATGCCATGCTATAATCAAGATTTCAAGGATTTGCATTATAACTCAGAGCTCATCATGCACCTTGTCGTGGGTAAGAAAGGTCATATACACACCATTTAGTTGTAAGTTCATTTAATCACCAGAGTCACTTTGCAGATTCAGACTCCAAATGTCTCTTAAGTCACAATACGACAGCTATCTGCATACCCAATCAAAAGATTACGCTCCTTAACATTATTCCTAAATATTATAACTCCTATCCCTCCACTGGGGTTTTGGGGTTTTGGGGTTTTGGGG